TTCTACAACACGCTCAGCGCGGATACTCCGCGACGATTCACCATTCGGCCTGGAGGAGACATGCATGCGGCGGCTGGCCCGCGCAGGGAGGAGGGAGCAGGTGCGGTTTGTCTCGGTCAGCCAGTTCGGCGCGGGGGCGTTCTTGAACGCGATCCCGACCCGCGCGCACTTCCGTCTGCCCTAGTACGTGATGGGCTTCGCGCTGCAGCGCCGCTTCGGATTGCACCTGTCGATGATGACGGACGTTATGGCGGACGGCATCTACAGTCAGCACGGTGTGCCCTTTGACGCCCTCGGCGACGTGGCGCAGAACGACGGCGCGGCGGGCCACCAGACGCGGCACAAGGAGGTCCTCCTGGACCTCGTCGAGCTGCTGCGGGGCAAGCTGGGGCGCGGCTCTGTGGAGCACGAGTTTCACTGCGAGCACAGCACTACGAGGACGGACTTGTACATTTACCAGGGCGTGATTGGGGACCTGCCATGCATCGGCGACACGAAGATCTTTGCCGGTGTGCCGTCGGACCCCTCGGGGGCGGGGCGCATGGGGGCGTTCGTCGCTTGCGGCAACACGCTGCCACGCGCCCGCGAGACGGTTCTGGGCGTGGAGGGCGGGGACAGGGGTGGGAGGGTGGGACGGTGGGATCCGCGGACGGGGACCGGGACGGTTGAGGCTGTCAAGGGCCAGTACACGGACGCAGAGGGGAAGTGCCATGTGGAGGCGTTGCTCTTCGAGGAGTTCGGCGCAATGAGCGCGGGGGTGGAGGAGCTGCTGATGCGGGTGGCTGAGGTGGCGGGCCGGAAGCTCACGTGGTGGCAGTACGACCAGACGTCGTGGTCGGCGCGCGAATGGATGCCGTTTGCGCTGCAGCGACTGTCGGTGCAGCTCTGGGTGGCGCTCGCGGACGAGGCACAGCGCGCCATTGGTGCGGCGTCGCGCGACCGCGAGGGACCGCGGGGGAATGCTAGTGGGATGGGGGGCTCTGAGGGGAAGGGAGCGGGGGGCGCCCAGTAGGGCGCCGGCACCCCAGCGTAGAGGGCGTCGTGTAGCCCTCCTTTTGGTATATTAAAAGAAAAACCCGGACTGCCACCTTAACCCGCGCACAACGCGGGGCAATGACAACGCAGACGACGGCGATGTACCGAGACCAGTCGCCACCGCCCTCGCCTTCCTGCGAGCTCGGGTGCCGTCCAACTCCCTGGCGCTGCTCTCCACACGCGGCAACTCGCTGGACTCCCTCGGTGTGCGGGACATCATGAAGGAGGTGATCGGCGCCCTCACCGGTGCACGCGGGCGGCCGCGGCCTGGCACGCCCGGAGCGGTGGCTCTTGCTGCTCTCGCTCGATGCCACGCTGGCTCCTCGCGAAGCCGCCCACGGGCGTCACCCCAGCCGCGGCGCTGCAGGAGCGGGCGGGTCGCTTCTTCGCGGGCGACTTCGAGTTGCTGTGGGACGCACACAAGTGGGAGGACAGGCTACCGACGATGGATTCACACGCGAAGCAGGAGGGCAACGGAGAGGGAGCGGGGCGAGGAGCTGGTCACGTTCATCCAAGATGCGGCGCGCAAGCGACGACTCGGGCAGGCCGTCCCGTCGGTCCCGCCCGGCGACCTGGCGCACGCCCAGCTGCGCCAGCTCCTCTGCGCCGACGTGACGACGGCGGAGCGCGCCACGATGCTCCGCTGGCGGAGGGCGGCGGCCGGCTGCGTCGGCGCGGCGGTGTCGGCGGGCGTCAGGAAGTCGCGGCGGTGAAGGCAGGGCAGCGACTTGAAGCAGGCACGAATCGACAGCATTGGACTGTGGCTTTGCCTGTGGGTGTCTCGAGTTCCCAAGTGCGCTCGCCCCTCCTCGAGCACTGGCCACTGCGCCTCGGACGCATATCGAGACACACATATCGATTTTGACTCGACGGGCGCATGGTGCCATGGAGCATGGTCCATGGAGGCATCACGTCTCCATGCGCCCGTCAAGTCGGAGCCAGTCACGGTGCAGCAGTCTGCGGCGACCACACAGCGCTCACCGCAGGGATAGGCGAGCTTTTCAAGAGTCAAAAGCGATTGCGCGAAATTCCACATTGGTGGATTTTGGGGCGCTGTCCACCCGGCACCCCCCGTCGCGGCCCCGTTGGACGTTTTCAAGATTAGCGTGTCAGGCCTCAGGGTGAATTGGAACTAGCCGTACGAAGGTGGTAGGCAATTTGTGTGCTTAAAAGAAGTCACACTGGGGTGTCCCCTACCATCACACTGGTGTGAATACGTCCCGAACCCATACTTGGGACCCGTACGGTAAGGTAAGGTAAGGTAAGGTAAACTTCTCCACACACACGAGGTGGTGGGGCAAGGGGGGGCAACCCTCGCGTCTCCACGTCTGACGACAGGAGCCCCACGGCATTCAAAGTGCAAGGCCCAGTGCGCGTGGGTGAGCGGTGTGTGTGTGTGTGTGTGTGTGTGTGTGTGTGTGTGTGTGTGTGTGTGTGTTTGTGTGTGTGTGTGTGTGTGTGTGTGTGTGTGTGTGTGTGTGTGTGTGTGTGTGTGTGTGTGTGTGTGTGTGTCACGTCACTGCGTCCTCCGCCGGTTCCTCCCGTCGCCTCTTCTTTGTTCGAATGTTTTTCAATCCATCCTTCACGAAGCCCTCCCATGTAGCTAGCGTTCTTGGCGAATGTCTCGAAATGGCCAGCAGGCGCTGTCTGCTCGCGGTCTGTGCGGGCCGCTCGTCCTCCTCGCCCTTCTTTCGTCCTCCCGTCCCTCCCCTCCACCATGGCCTTCTCGGCACTTCTTTCTCCATCCGCCTCGCCCTGCCTTTTCGCATCGTGCCGTTCGCCCTCCATTCGGTGACCTCCTTGGCTGTCCGCCCCTTTTTGGGTGGCGCTCTCGATACAGTTGCGTCCCGTACCATATGCTCGTGCTATCCTGCCCTATGGCGTATGGGAGGCAGAGGCAGGGATGGGGGGAGGGGGGGGGGGGGGGGGCAGAGGTAAGGTGCTGTCAGACCGGCGACACGACGGCGTCCAGATGTCGCGGGCACCAGCAACCGCGAAGCCGCGTCCTGGCAACGCATGTGCGGAACCCCTTGCCCGTGGTCGCAGGCCGCAGTCTGCGGACTGCAAGCTAGCGTGCAAGGGTCCACACAAGGGAGCCGTTGCCCAAAGCATGGCAGTAGCTGTCCTCATCGGCGGCGGACGGCCCGGTTGCAAGCATGTTGCTCTGTTGACCAAACTGACCAAACGCTGTCACGTCGTCGAGCGCCGACGCCGGGTGGCACAGCACGTCGAACTTCCCCTCCGCGCCAACCACCGGGTAAAGCTTGGCGCCCGGAGTCTGGCAGAGGAAGAAGTCGTCGCCTTCCTGGCACACGAACGGCGTGTCCATGGGGTTGAGCTCGCTTTTGATCGTGGTTGAGCTCTGCAGGGCCCCCGTCGTGACTTAGGGGTCGTCCGCGACCGGGGTGCTGTGGTTTGCAGCCCACGCCTGTATGGCCTCGTCGGAATCGGAGCAGAAGACCGGCGGCGGAGCCCCCTGCGCCGCGGCGGCGACGGCGTGCGAGCTGTCGGAGGCCTGGAGTCTCATCATCTGACCGGTCGTGTCGAACCTCACCGACCGGCGGCGCCCGCTGTCAGCCGCAGGAGTCAGCCGACCGTGTGCCACGAGCAGATGCGGTCCAGCTCTTCTTGTTCCATCGGAGGCAGTGGTGCGATGCAGAGGCCTTCGAGCGAGCCAGACGCGGGTCGCGCAGTCGCTGGTGAATGATAGACGCCCAGCCCCGCTTTCGACCCGTGCCGCCCTCTGCGGAATCGTCCTGATGGGGCAGTCCTGACGTAAACTTGAGAGTCCTGACAAGCAAACTTGAGAGTCCTGACAGAAACTTGAGAGTCCACAGAAACTTAGTGATTGGCTAGACGAGCGGCCTACCTCCATGGGGCTGTTGGAACGGGGGGAGGTGTCAATCACGCTCCCGGGACGCCGGAGAGATCGGGTTGGTCTCCCCCGCCTTCATTCAGCCCTGACCCGACGGGGACCACTCCATCACCCTCGCCCAGGGATCTACAATGCTGTCTTAAGGTCCGACAGGTTCGGCACCGGGCACCGCCTCGGTATACAAAATGCGCCTGCGGGCGGACCGGACCCCCAAAGATCACCTTTCACCTCGAGACTCCAGAAAGAAAAATTCTAGCGGCGGGCACGTCGCACCGCATGGCGGCCGCGCTGCACCGCCCGCTGCTGGCGCGCGGCTGATCGCGGCGCCGACCCCGCGGCGGCGCCATCTCGCGCGGCGGGGCGCGGCGCTGCGTCGGCACCAAAACGGACGCGAGCTCGCGGCGCGGCCGCGGCAGCAAAAACATCAACGTCTACTTCTCCTTCTCTTCTCGTCTCGTCTCGTCTTGTCGCGGGCGCGCACGTGCGCGAGGCGCGCCAAGGTCGCCGCGTTCGCTCCGCGAAGGCCGCGATTCGAACCCGGAGCCACCCGGCGCGGCGACAGCGCGCGGCGGCAAAAGGTGCGGCGCTCGCTTCATGGAGGTGCTGCTGTTTGGGCAGCACCAGATGTACGGCTGAGCGGGGTGGGGCTCGGCAGTACACTGCGGAGGCGGCTTCGGACGACGTCTCGTACCTGTTCGCACCAGTGGAAGCTTAGCGATCTGGTCCCTACCTGTTCGACCCAGGCCGACCGCGGCCTGGAAGCCCTCTGCTGAGGGAGTGCGGGGATAGGAGGAACGGGGTGCCCTTAGTCACAGCTTCCCCCGGGACATGTCCACGCTGGACGTCCCGGGACATGGCGATGGACGACCGGCCCTCGCGGGCCGGCGTGGGTGGGGCGGCGCGCGAGCCGCGCGCCTGCCCCGGGGGGTGGACGCCTGCTGCGTCGCCTCCTTCCCTAAACCTGCCGACCAGTCCGCTTTTTGAGCAGGTGTGCCGCCGCGCGAGCGACGCTCCGAGATCGCCCGAGATAGCGCGGCGCGGCCCCGAGATCGCCCGAGATAGCGCGAGATCGCCCGAGATTGCGCGGCGCGGCCCGAGATCGCGCACCTCGGCACTCGGCGGGGTGGATGGGTTGGGAGCGAGGGGGCGGAAGTGTTCAGTGCGGTAGAGGGTCAGATCGGGGCGCGAGAGGTGGCCTGTGAGCCATCCGGCTTACGTTTACCCTGCGTTGTTGAGCCAGGACTCAACATACTCGTTCTGTTGCCATCCCAAACTGTCACTCCCCTTTCTCCCGGCCGGGCGGGGTGGGGCGCGCGCGGGGGCGGTGGGTGTGCGGGATGTCTGTGGGCCCGAGAGCGATATGCCATGTCCGCCTTGCTTTGTTTCCATCGAAGGCTTGCTCGAAAAAAAAGCGCGAACAAAAGGCCGCCCACTTTGCTCGCAGCGCTGTGCGCGCTCGTGTTTGCCGACACATGAACCTGCCACCTCCCGCCGAGGGGTGGCCGGCCGCCGACAAGGCCGCGGAGGCGCTCTTCTCGCGGTTCCAGATCGACACGAGCCGCAAGTTTGGCGAAGGAGGCTACGGCGCCACCTACGCCGCTATCGACAATGCAGCGACGGGTGCGGCGCGCAACTGCGCTGCAAAGGTGGTGAACCTGAGCAAAATGAAGTTGGAGAGCCTGCAGGACGAGTGCAGGGTTCTGGATAACCTCGGGAAAGATGGTGGTCACCCCAACGTGATTAAGCTCCTCGGCCACGGCCGCGGGCGCCGGAGCGCGAAGCAGGAGGGGCAGTACTTTATCTTTATGGAGGCGGCGAGCGGCGGCGAGCTCTTCGACGTGGTGATCGACCGCGGCGCGAAGGCGATGACGGAGGAGGAGGCGCGCGGCTTCTTCATCGGCGTCCTCAGCGGTCTCATGCACTGCCACTCGCGCGGCATCGTGCACCGAGACATGAAGGCACGCAGAGCCGAGAGAGACCAGACAGGCTCTAGAGACCAGACAGGCCGCAGAGCCGAGAGAGACCAGACAGGCCGCAGAGCCCAGAGAGACCAGACAGGCCGCAGAGCCCAGAGAGACCAGACAGGCCGCAGAGCCCGCAGAGACCAGACAGGCCGCAGAGCCCGCAGAGACCAGACAGGCCGCAGGGTCCACGACGCGCACATGGGAGAGCGAGGGAGTACGCGGCACCGCCACGGCCAACTTGTGGGGAGCGAGTGCACGTCCCCGCCAAGGGGGAGAGAGAGTACGAGCAGCCACCGCCACGGCCAACTCCCCTGCCCTCCGCCCACATTCCTTCCCCTGCGGTCGAGCCCTTCTCCCTTCTCTCCGCCCAGCCCGCTGAGGGCGCCTCGAGCGGCCCTGCTGCAACCGCCTGCACCGCCGACCATCTCTGACCATACCTACTCTCACAAACCGCAACTCGCATTCCGCACACGCGCACTCACGCACACGAGCGCGCGCACCATACACCTCCCCCCACCCCCACCCTTCCCTCGCCCTCACCCCCACCCGCACCCCCACCCTCACCCCCACCCCACTCTCAATTCCCCACCCCCACCCCCACCCCCACCCCCACCCCCACCCCCACCCCCACCGCACCTTCCGCCTGCCGCCTGCCGCCCAGCTCGAGAACGTGCTGCTCTCGTCGGAGGGCACGATCAAGCTGATCGACTTTGGGCTCTCGCACACCTACGGCAAGGACGCCAACGGCCAGTGGGACCGCTCCCAGCCCCTCCGGCGGCTGGTCGGCTCAAAGTCGTACGTTGCGCCAGAGGTGCTCAGCGGCGTGGGGTATGACGGCCTAGAAGCGGGCTCTTGTACTCCAACCAGCGCCCGAGAGGACACGTATTCCGCTGTACTCATCCGTATTCCGCTGTATTCACTGTGTTCCTATCCGTTGTACTCACGCGGTGCTCTCAAGACGCTGCACAATACCGTATTCGCGCCCTGAGGTTGGCGTATTCAGCACGCAGGTACGACGGCTTCATCGCCGACGTCTGGTCGCTCGGCGTCTGCCTCTTTTCGATGCTCGCGGGCTTCTTCCCGCTCTCGGAGGCAAACGCGAAGGACTGGCGCTTCGGGCTGCTCCAAAAGACGCAGGAGAAGGGCGTGTCGTCGACGGTGACCATCCACGGCTGGTACAAGCGCAAGTGCCAGCTCTCGCCCGGCGCGATCAACCTGATCGACTCGATGCTTGCCTGCAACCCGAAGCGGCGCATCCCTCTCGGCGCGATCGCGGCGCACGAGTGGACGGCGGGCGCGCCGCTCGGCGGAGCGGCGGCCAAGGCGGCGCTGGGGCGGAGTCCCATGACGGCGGCGCTGCCGGTGACCGCGATGGAGGAGGAGGGGCCACGCTGGCGGGCCGCCAACCCGGGCATGGACGCGGAGTCGCTGATGGCGCTGCTGGAGCTGAACGACGGCGAGGGGCTAGACGACGCGGAGACGGCGCCAATCTACCGCAAGCTGGGCGTCGACCTCGGCGAGGCGCTGCCGCTGCCGGCCTTTGACAGGCAACACGCCTGCACCTTTGCTGCGCCCGAGTGAGCAGGAGAGGGGAGGTGTGGGGGGGGGGGCTGGGCGAGGGAGGGGAGAGCCGGCCCTCGCGCCGAGTCGGCTGCGGGGGGAGGCGCCGAGTGTGGCACGCCGGGCGGCGAGGGAAGATGTGTTGGTGCGGCGCAGGCCCCTCGCATGCGGCGAGATCGAACGCAGCGCGCACCGCCGGCGGTGCAGCCTGCACGGTGACGCCTTCGTGAGTTCGCATGGGGGCATGACGCGTCCATGCGCCGAGTGGGCAAACCATTTCGTAGCACGGTCGGGAGACCGGGGGTCTGTACTCTCCGCCTTGTGGCCGTGTGTGTGGTGTGAGGCCGTGAGAGCTAAGCCATCGTGCGTGTGTGAGGGGTCGCGGACGTCGTAGAACGGAGATGGTGGTGTGACGTGAGCGCTCGCTTGGGGTCATTTTACTCTATCTCACAGCCTCTGCTGGAGCCGGCCCTCGCGCCGAGTCGGAGTCAGGCAAAGTCAGCCGGAGCTGCGCGGGCGGGGGGGGAGGCGCGCGCCGAGTCTCCCGAGTGTGGTACGCCGGGCGCGCCGGGGTTGTTGCACGAGTGATCCCCACCGCGAGGCTCTGGTACGCGCGCAAGGGGCGCCTCTTCACGCGCGTGCGCGGCGAGGGCTACGCGCTCGCCACCGACGCCGACGGCAAGGTCTACTACTCGGAGGAGGGCTGCGCGCAGGGCGACCCGCTGGGCCCCTTCCTCTGGTCGATTGGCTACCACTGGTCGCTGCTGCAGCAGCAGGCGGCGCACCCGGACACGCTGCTCTACGCGTACGAGGTACCTCGACGATACCTACTGCCTCGACGCGCCGGCCGCCGCTGTCGCCTGCATGGACACGGGCGCGCGCGTCACCGAGGCGGACTGCAGGGTCGCCTCCAACTTGTCGAAACAGTGCGTGTGGTCTCCGGGCGGCGCTGCGGCCCTCGCCCCGCTCTCCTCGCGCGTCGCGCTGCGCGGCACGCCGAACGCGCCGCCGACGAAGGGGCACGAGCGCGCTGGCGGCGGCACGCTGCTCGGGATCAAGGTGCTGGGCGCCTTTCTCGGCGACGTCGGCTGGTGCTCGGCGCAGCTGGTCAAGCGGGTGCGCATCGCCCTCGAGCCGCTCGACGGCATCATCCAGCTGCGCGACGCGCCCAGCCTCGACATCGCGCAGCAGGCGCAACACTGCCTCATGCGCTACTGCTCCAACACCACCCTCGTCTACTTCCTGCGCACCATGCCGCCATCCATGACCATCGAGGCGGCGCAGGAACACGACCGGCTCATCGCCTCGGCCTTCCACCGCATCGTCGGCTCCGAGGCGGGCTCGCCGGCGCAGTGCGAGCGCGCGCTGCGGCAGGCGCGCCTCCCGGTCAAGCTCGGCGGGCTCGGCCTCACCTCCATGGCGGCGATCCGGCGAGCCGCGTGGGTCGGCACCTGGGCGCTCGTGTGGACGCCGCTTCGGCAGCTCCACGCGCCTTTCCGAGCCGTCGACATCACGGCCGAGTCGGCGGCTGACTTCCAGCAGCTCTCCATCTTCACCGAGCTGCAGGACGCACACAGCACCCTCCTCGATGACTACGACTACGTGGCGAGGACCTACGAGCAGTACGACCGCCAGGTCTTCGACTACTGCAAGGAGGGCCTCGCACACTTCCGATTTCACCCCGACGGCCTCCCCGACCGCGACACACTCCTCCCGTTGGCCTGCTTCGATTCTGGCAGTGAGCATCTACAAAGCGCACAGCGTCGCTACTCCCAGATCATTCATCACGCAGCATGGCTCGGCTTTTGGAATGCGTTGCAGCTACCGGGCGTGGCTAGGCGGGAGGCGGTGCGCTTCATCGCCGTCAGCCAGTACCAGGCGGGCGCCTTCCTCAACGCCGTCCCCTCGCGCCGCGACTTTCGTATCCCGACGTGGGCGCTGCGCATCGCCGTCCAGCGGCGCCTCGGGCTACCACTTGACGAGGCGCTCGCGCGGGGCGCGCCGACCTGCTCGGCGCGCGGCGGCAAGGTGCAGGACCCGTTGGGCGACGCGGCCAGCAACATCGGCCGCCTCGGGCACTGCAGCCGCCACAACAGCCTCCTCGCCGCCCTGGCCAAGGTCATGCGGAGCGTGTGGGGCATGCTCGTCGAGGTGGAGCCGCGGGACCACCTCGGCTACTCTAACGACTACCGGCCCGACGTCTCGGTGGTGGGCGCCGGCCGCTCGCGCTCGCGCCTCATCGGCGACGTCAAGTTCAAGGACTCGCTCTCCTCCAACCCGGAGGACGTCGGCCAGCGAGGCGCTTTCGTCGGCCTCGGCAACACCGAGCCCGGCACGAGCGCGGACGTCTTCGGCCTCGAGCAGCGCGGCGCTGTCGGGGACGGTGACTTCAGGCCGAGCGACGGCGGCGGCTATGTGGCGTACAAGAAGGCGGACTACGCGCACGCCCTCTCGCGCTCGGACACCGACGTGCAGATGTACCTGTTCGAAACCTTCGGCGGGTGGTGCAACGCGGTCAAGCGGCTGTTCTACCAGATGAAGGACAAGGTGCGCAACAAGCTCTCGAAGCGGCAGCACGAGGACGAGGCGAGCTGGTCGACGCGGTCGTGGCTGTCGCTGCAGGCCCAGCGCATGTCAGTCGCGCTGCAGCTCGCGGCGGCGGAAGAGATTGCGACCGAGCTCAGGCTCGCCGCGGCGTCGGAGGACGCCGCCGTCGCCTAGACTCCCCTGCGTCACTACGTGCCTCCCCGTCTTTGTAGCCTGGCGTTTGTGCCCCGTTTGTGCCGCGTCCCGTGCCCCCGAGTTCATTTTATAATAGAGCTCTGGGACAAAAGCGTCGAAAATGTCCCAAAAAAGCGTGGCTCGAGTTTGTTGCAGCCCCACAGCCGGCGCGCGCTGCCAGGAAGCACCGCTCGCGTGTCGGCGGCACTCCCTGGCACCCAGTGAGTGCCGCGAACCGACCAGACCGAGTAGGCTCGATGCCGCGCTCGCTGTGGGGCTGCAAAAAACTCGCCGCCGAGCGTGCCACCGAAAGCGTCCCGTCGGAGGTGATGGAGTGTGAGACCTGAGGCTGCGGAGGTGACGCCTGAGGTACCGGTCCGTGCACAGCGACTCAGCCGGTGACCGCCACGGGCTCAGACGAGACTTGTCGACTCGTTCCAGCTCAGCTTCACCGTGGTCCTCGGGCGTCTGTCGACGTCAGGACCACCCATACAGCTCGCGGGTTTGAGGTCGCAAGAGCCAAGATGGTGGCGTTTGGACATCCCAACCATCACACAAGACAGCCTGTAGGTGATGGCGGGACGGCGCAGTGTTTGTGGCACTCGGCAGTAGGCACCCGCGGCACGGCCCCGCTGTCGGCTCTCGCGGGCTGCGGAACCGGACCCAGAAAGGGACGGTCCGGGCGAGTGTGGCAGCTCCTGCGCTAGTATGGGCACCCTCTATTATAGCACTACTGATCCTGGTCATTAGAGCTGCCAGGGATAGCGTCAGGAGCTGGTAGGAGTCAAAACCCCTCATATTTGAGACATCGTGTCCCATATACTCGTGCAACAACCCGCCGGCGCCGCGAGCGCGCCGAGCGGGCGCAGATGTGTTGGAGTGCGGCGCAGGCGCCAAGGCCCCTCGCATGCGGCGAGATCGAGCGCAGCGCGCACCGCCGGCGGTGCAGTCTGCACGGTGACGCCTTCGTGTGTTCGCATGGGGGCATGACGCGTCCCGCCGCCGCCACCACCCGCACCAGGAGCAGGATAGACGACTAATAGACCAGCCCCCACCTCTGTGCGCTGTGGCGGCTCTCCAAAGCGCCGCTTTCGGCTGTGAGATAATCAGCGATATGCCATGCGGAGATCCTGCTATGGTTGCGAGTGTATGTGTGGGCCGCTGTGTTCCCGCACCCGAGCACGTGAGACGCCCTCCCCCCGCAAAACATTCATTTCAAAACTGCAGTCTCTGGCAGTGGCACCGCTCTGTGTGTTGTTGTGCCTGTCGAGAGCGAGTATGGTCTTGGTTGATATTCTACCAGGACCGACTCTACTATACGTCAGTACTGTTGTCCCCTTCATGCGGCGCACCACGCCAAGGCAGCGAGTCAGGCAAGGTGGTCGGCGTGAAAATGACGCTGGCTTGTGCGCCGCCCTTTTCTGGCTTCGCTGCGACGGGTGCGGCCCATCATCACTGCCCGCGGCACACCGGGCGGTGCCAACAGCGCGTGCGTGCCCGCGCCAAAGTACTCCTCGAACGGCGACCGATTGGTGACGGGTCCGATCACGCCAAACGTGACTCGCTCGAAGGCGCCGTGGTACTTGCCGCGGAGCAGCGCGCAAAAGACGCCCGCAACCATGCGAGGGTCGTTCTGGAACACCCCGCAGCCCCACGCACCGAGGACGAGGGCGCTGTGGCCGTTGCCAGCAGCGACACGGAGCACACGCTCGGCCCGCTCAGCCAGGGCGGCCGAGATGTCCTGCTGGCGCACACGCCTCTTGCGCGCAGCGCCAGCATTGGGTGCGGCGGCAGTGATAAAGCTGAGTGGCCATGGTGACTCCAGCAGCCGGCCGGCGTATTCAGTGCGGATGATGGGCACCGCTGGCGAGTAGATGACTGCGTGCGAGTAGAGTCCGCCGTTGCGCTCCCCATTATTGTGCGCGTGGTAAAACGGCCTCGCGGCCTCTGATGTTAGCGCCGCGTAGAGCAGCGAGTTACGGGCGAGGTTCTCCTCCTGCGCCTCGGCGCCAGACATGAAGCCGCCGCCGGGGTTTCGCGCAGAGGCAAAGTTGAGCGCGACGACACTGTGGCCCATACGATGCAATCGACGAGCGGCCCCGAGCGTGCCCTCGTTGACAACCTCGATTTCGGTCGCCGCGCTAATAGCTGCGGCACGAGCCGGCCAGCTTAATCGTTGTGCCATCAACGCAGGCTTGCATGCGCTCAGTGACGTCGACGACAGTGCCGCGCTCGGTGGTGTAGACGCCCTCGCTGCAGATGTCGGCCGTCGACGTCCCAATGGCGGCACGTTCGCCCTTCGTGAGGCGCGCAGTCTGCTCGTCCTCTCCCTCGTCCTCGCCCTCGCCCTCGCCCTCGCCCTCTTCCTCGCACTCGTCCTCGTCCTCGTCCTCGTCCTCGTCCTCGTCCTCGTCCTCGTCCTCGTCCTCGCACTCTTCATCGTCCTCGCCCTCACCTTCACCACAACCTTCGTCTTCATTGCTGGCTTCCAACAGCTCTGCCAATACCTCCAGCACCGGCGCCGGCAGCACCCTGTCTGCGACCAGCCGACGAAGAGCAGGCACGCCACCCATTCGCATCTTGCGCCGAACAAGCGTCGACGAGAGGGGCTCGCCGCGAAAGGTCAGCAGCGGCGCGTCGCTGCCTTTTACGGTGATGATGGTGATGTTTGGCCCGAACTCTTCCGCCATTGCCGCTCCGCACTCTTTCGCAGAGCCGAATGTTCTTGGCGTTGGCTGGAGCCATTCAACCGACTCCGCAATGGCATTGCACATGCGAAGCCGCCATGCCGCATCAAATGCGAGCTCGCTGGATTCCCCACGCTGGCGGAACTTGCTGCGCACGTGTCCATCGTGCGCGACAGCAAAAAAACCAGCGACCACGCAGAAGCCGTCACGCTGCACCAGTTGCCGACCTCGCTCGAGGGCTGCGAGGTGGCCGGCATGCACCGGGCTGAAAGAGCCGCCGAGTACGACGATCGCTGGCTTCGAGCCAGTCATTGTCGTCGATGCTGTCACAAGTGCTGACAAGTCCACGACGCGGCACGACGCGGCAAGGCACGTCCTCGAGTCCCGTAAAAGCAAGCTGGCGAACAAAGTGTGTACTTGAGCAACCCAATGTCCACTGTCCAGGGACCGGGATGTGACGCCCTCGCCCTAGCTCGACGAGCGAGGTGGCGCGGACGATGCGACGCGGAGGTTGTTGTTGGCGGCTTCTTCTGACGCCGCTCCTGCGCAGAATACTGTTCGTCGACGTTGGCCAACACTCAGCCACAGCGTGAACGCGCCAACCTCACTACCAGGTTACGGTAACCCGATCTGTTCAAGGCGCCGTTCACGGGCGCGGCGACATATGCGATCGTCTGTCGGTCCAAGGGTTGATCGTTGAGGGGAGCAGATATAGAGCTCTATGCCTTCTTGCCGCGTCGCTCCACCTTCGCCACGCGAGAGCAGGCGCGTGTGGCGAGTACGCATTCAGAGCCCCAGCGCTGCCAGCAGCACGTCCACCGACGACAACCATGACGACAACGTGGGCAGCGCTTTAGACGACGAGGTTGCGGAAATCACAGCCTCGATGATTCGAGCGGACATTGCAGCGGGCCGCGCCAGCCTTGGGTGCAAGCGCGCGTCTACCTCGCCACCCGCTGACGAGGGTGGCACGCGGCTCTCGGCGCACTGTGCTAGAGTCTGCAACAAGCTCGCCAAGCTGACCTACGACGACATGCGGGACCTGCAGCGCGCCGAACTTGCGGGGCCCACTGAGGCCGGCTACGCGCTCGCGGAGGCTCACGAACCGGGCCCATTCCCAGCCGGATAAAGTCGACTGTGAGAGCCCCACATCCTATTTGCCGCGTTGCTTCGATTTCGCGGCGCCCCTCGCTCCGCCGCCCCGTGCCCCCCCCCTCTCCTCCAATTTGTATGTGTGTGTGTGGTGTCAGCACCAGTGCCAGCGCCAGTGCCATTGAAGACTTGTTTGAAAACAACACGCCCGGCCTCCACAAAACTCCTGCGCCCCCAACACGTGTGCCTGCCCCCGCAGCCCCCCCAACCTCCGTCCTGGTCCTCTACGCACTACGGCTCACGGCTCTAGCCATCTGCAGCGTCGCCGCTCTCGTCGGCGCCAAGGACCGCATGTCGCTTGGCCTCTGCAATCTCATCGGAGAAGAAGAGGAGGTTCTCCTCGGGCTCCCACGAGTCGTCGCTGGGGGAGAAGTGCCTCCATCGCACGAGCAGCTCCCACCCGGTCGGCTGCAGCCGCGCCTAACGGAGCGCGTGCACGCAAACAGCTGCGTGAGGGCACATGGTGGGGCAGCACGCCCGGGGCTGCGGCCGCACCTGCATGATCCGATCCACCTCGAAGCGCCGCTCGCGCCCGCCGCGGGGCGGCGGCAACGGCGCGGGCGCTGGGAGAGCCTGAGACAGCCGCCTGTCTGCAGCGTCCGCCACGATCGGCTCCTGCCTCACCACGGCCGCCTCCACGGCAATGCCGCTGTCTGAGGGGAGGGAAGACCGGGAGGGAGGGAGAGGGAGGGAGGGGCTGGTGCATGGGGAGGAGGGCCGGGTGATGCCGT